TATGAACTGTGAGATAAAAAATAGCCATGATACATGTCAAGTATTAGACCTAGTGCCTACTGTAGCAAGTATTTAAGATAGCTATTACTGTTGTTATTATTAGTGGTAGTAGTATTGGCTTATATTTCAGACTAGTTAGCTTGAAAATTCTTTAGGCTCATTGATATCTATTAAGTTGACTTTTTCATATTCAAAACTGTGGGAAAGATTCCTAGAGTATCCTTATTCCTATTCCTTGAGTATCAAAAGTTAAAATTTAATTATAAAATGATTTTCCAAAGAGAAATTAAACAGGTTTTGCATGTTCTATTCCTAAATTCAGTCATGCTTCAAACACTGATTTTGAGTCTCCAACTTGAGAGCCTATGTTATTTTTGAAAATCGTTTCCTCATTATGGCTTCATGTCTCTAGCACTTATTTTTATGTGTGGTATGTGTATAGTTCATTAGTTATAGGTTCATAGGCTAACCAGCGACAACACAGTATATCATGACTGGGTAAGTTACCCTGTCCATCATTTTGCTAATATTCTCTACTTCAAATGACATAATAATTTCTGACAGAACAATTTTCCAGGCTTTGAATGGTTTCCCCGTTTCAATAATGTTTGTTTTGAAAATATCTGTCATAATCACAGGGTAGAAATCAGCCCATTCTGTGGCTGGTATGTTGAGGGTTTACCCACCTCACTGTCGTTTCCAAATTTGAGCAGTTAGACGTTAATTAAAACCAACCAACGAACAAACACAGTCCTCTCTGACACAGGGAGAGAAATGATGGGATGAAAGATAGGAATGCCTGTAATCCTAGCAACTTAGGAGACTAATATCTGAAGATTGAGGTTTAAAGCCAGCCTAGGCAGACAAATCTGAGAGCCTACTCTAATTAACTAGCAAAAAGCTGGAGTAGAGTCATGACTCAAGTGGTAGAGTGCCTGCCTTAACCAAAAATGCCAAACAAGAGTGCAAGGCCCTGAATTCAAACCCTAGGACTGGCACTAAAAATAAACGCAAACAAACAGAAAAAAATGTCAGTGTGTGCACATCCCATACCATTAGGGTTAAAATAACTGCTGAGGAAATGGCGGTCTTTATGTGGCACTAAAATGACCCCATGGCTGGAAGAACACAGAAGAGCCAAAAGACACAATGCCTGTAGGCACATTTTCTTCTAGAATGAAGTGTCTTGTCCTTACATCTGTGTAGTCTAGTTTTCATATATTTATTCTTGAATTACATGATCACAAATGGCATAAAGTTCTGTTATTTCAACTAGTGTATACAGCTTGTTTCTGTACTTATATTAAGGAGAAAACAAATGAGTTATGACAATAACCTAAAGGAATATGTTTATTTGCAGCTAGTGAATTTTGTATGCATATCGACTTGTCTACACTGGTTATGTGTGTTTGTGGCTGTCTGTCAAGTTTTATAAAAAGCAGCTCAGGAATGAAATTAGATTTTTACCTCTTTTTTAGTGTAAAGCATAACTGTGTATGCTGTAGCATTTGAGCCCATGTGTGTAATTTTGTTCTAGATAGGAGAGTATGCAAGTAAATTTCATATGAACTTTAATTTTAAACATTTTATAAATATGTGCTTTTGGAGCCTCTGAGATCATGTCAGTGTCTAAATACACTACGATTGTTTTAACTTTCTGATTAGCAACACAGATAATTTGTCCTATTAGATATTCTTGCATGTGGGTCATAATTTGAGTTGGAGGTATTCAAAGAGACAAGATAGAACCAGTTACGCAAAGCATCTTCAAATTTTCTCACTGCTTGAGTTTTTTGCTTCAGTGCAGAAGCAGTCATTTTCTTTTTCAGCGAATGAGTACCTGGTGAGTTCTTGCTTACATATTTAGCTATACTTTGTCTCTTTTCTTTTGCTCTAAAATATTCTTCATCTATACCTAAGCAAGCTGTGCACCAATGGTTCACACTTGTAATCCTAGTTACTCAGGAGGCTGAGATCTAAAGACTGTGGTTGAATCCAGCCTGAACAGAAAGGGCACATGATACTCATAACTCTTTTTATTCTGGTTGGTTTGTTTTTTTGTTGCCAGTCCTGCTATCCTGAGGTTTGAACTTATGGCCTGAGCACTGCCCCTGAGCTTCTTTTGCTCAAGGACAGCATTCTACCACTTGAGGCACAGCACCCCTTCTGGCTTTTTTCTGTTAATGTGGTACTGAGGAATTGAACCCAGGGCTTCATGCATGCTAGACAAGCACTCTATCACTATGTCACATTCCCAGCCATCTTAATTAACTCTCAATTAAAAATTACTTCTGGCAAAAGGCCAGAAGGTAGAACTGTGGCTCAAGTGGTAGAACACCAACCCTGAGTGAAAAAGCTAAGGGAAAGCACCAGGCCCTGAATTTAGGACCCAGTGCTGATACACACACACACACACACACACAGATACAGGCACACACACACACACACACACACACAATATCTGAACTTGTAAAACTTCCTAACTTATTTTTCTCCATTTCTGTAATTTTCTCTAATTGGCAAATCAAAACAAAAGCAAAACGTGCAACCCATTTGTAAAATCTAAGTGCTGAATCTCCAGTCCTTATCTATAGTATACAGATCAGTTTCTTTCTTTTTATTAGAAAATTCATTGCCTTGCTCATCCTCACAAATTTGCAAATTCTTTCTGTGTATATGTACAGACATGCATGTAAGTACATGCATCTGTATTTTTTTGTTGTTGTTGTTGGTCGTGGAGCTTGAACTCTGGGCCTGAGCACTGTCCCTCAGCTCTTCAGCTCAGGGCTAGCGCTCTACCACTTGAGCTACAATGCCACTTCCTGTATAAGTTAAATATACATAAATGTGAATGTGTGTGTGTGTGTGTGTGTGTGTGTGTGTGTGTGTGTGTGTGATTGTGGTAAGAACATTTAACCCTCCAATCAGTTCTAAAGGGTAAACTATATTACTTTTTTCTCTCGGTACTCTGTATGTTTGTGAAATACCAGCTCTGAATCCACACTTTAGACCTCAGAGTATGCAACGTCCTGGATAGCTTGCGATGAGTGCAGATGAGGTGTGAAAGCTGAGATTGTAAGTCTGAAGATTTGTCAGGGTATCCAGCTAGAGTCCTCCCATCATTGTCTAAGCCCGAGTCGTGCCTCAATTTCTCGGCTGCGTGACATTAGTGCTGAGAAAGAGAAGGCGCCAGCGTTCAAACCACTGCCTGCAATCCTGCATCGCTTTGGAAGCCTGTGGCTTGGAGGCCAAAGGCCCCAAGCAGAGGTCTCCTGGGCCTCTTATCTCCTGCCACATTTCCTTTGCCTGGTCTGGTGGGAGCCAATGGCGCCCCCCAGCGCCGGCCTCCCGCGCCTGCCATTCGCTCTCCAAGCTGCCCTCTCTAACTTGGAAGTAAACCACACTCGGGAAAAGGCTTTCCTCGGAATCCTCAGGGGCTAGGAGGCAGAAAGCCAAGGAAGACGGGATCTCAAAGGCTCTCTCCATCCCTCGCCCTGTTCACGCGCGTCTGGGATCTCCTTGCTGCAAAGAAAGCATTTGCTTGACACGGTAAAGATGCCCGGTGGAGCTGTGGGATCCAAACCTTTGGAGCATACTCAGGGGCTCCTCATTTCCTCCCTGTCTGTCAGAGACACAGACTTTCAGTGTGTGTGTGTGTGTGTGTGTGCGCGCGCGCGCGCGTCTGTGACGGAGTTGAGGATGGAGAAGACTAAATACCTCTGGAGGGTCTAGCATAGCTCCTCTTTCTCCTTTGGTCTTCGCCTTGTGCAATCCCCAGCCCCGCTCCGGAGTTCCTTGGGACACCCCCTGGCGCACCTCTGTGGCACCAGCCACACAAGCTCATGGAGAGGACAGCCTAAAATCAAGCTTGAGCGCACACGGAGCACAGATGTTCCTTTCTCTAAAGCATCCACGGGGCTTTGCCAGCCTTCCTCGCCCCGTCCGGAGTCGCAGGCTGAGGATGGGTGGGAGACTAAGAAAGGTTGGTGGGCCTGGCCTTTTGGGGGCATTTGCTCCCTGCCGGTTTCCAATGAGCTGTGGTCAGGCACCAGGAGTCCCCATGTCCCTCTGGGGGTGAGTTCCCCTTCTCCCAGTTGTTCCAGGGGGTGGAGTGGAGCTGATGCAGGAGCAGCGGCGAGGGGGAGGGGCACCGGGTGGGGGGGGGGGAACGTTTTCACTCTTTGTCACTCTTGAATTGGGGGCGGAGGAAAAAAAAACAACCCCACTGTGGAGAGCTATAAAAAGGCAAGAGGGCGCAGGGAGAGAGCAGAGCTGAGCCAGAGCTGGCGGGAGCCGAGCGCTAGCCCGCTCCCGGGGCATCGCTGCGACTTGGGCAGTGTGGGATGGCCCCATGTGAACCCGGGGACCACGCTTCGGGCGCGCGCGTGTGAGCGGGGCTCCGCTTTGCCTTGGGATCTCCAGCCTCCCATCGGGAGGCAACTCCAGATTCTAGCATCTACCTTGAGAAAGAGGGACTTGTGTCCTGGAAAATAAGTGGAGGCATAAAGGATAGGAACAAAGTAGGAAAAGAGAAAAAAAGTAACCGAGCCCGAAGGAAGAGGCATTGGAACAGACGACCTGATCTGAAGAGGAGGATTGAAGCGAAGAGATTCGGGCCGTGACCACCGAGGTGCGCACGGAGCACCGACGCCGGCCGTGCGCGAGCTGCGGCCGGACTGGGTCGGCCAGCACCTTTGGGTCACGCCTCCTTGGCGAGCAGACGCCTCGCCTTTGATTGCCACTAGTTCCTGCAGAACTTCCTGCCCCGGGGCAGAAGCGGGTCCCTGCTTGGGTAGCGCTTGCTCCTGAGTTGACGCTTGAGACTGAGTCCCAAAAGGTCCTGGGACCCCCCCGAACACCCAGACGGGTTGGAGGAACCGTATCGGGATCCCTTGCGCCCCGCTTGAGGGGCTGCTGGGTGGGGGTCTTCTCTCTCCTCTCGTATTCACGCCCTTTGGGGCTTGGCGCCTCCGCGAGACCCCCCCCCCCCCCATCCCCTCTCCAGGAGATGGCCGTAAGGATGCGGGGCAAGGATTCCTCCCGCTGCCTACTCCTCCTGGCCGCGGTGCTGATGGTGGAGAGTTCGCAGCTCGGCAGCTCGCGGGCCAAACTCAACTCCATCAAGTCCTCTCTGGGCGGGGAGACGCCTGCCCAGGCTGCCAATCGATCTGCGGGCATATACCAAGGACTGGCTTTCGGCGGCAGCAAGAAGGGCAAAAACCTGGGGCAGGTAGGAATCCTCCTCCGATTTGTCCCCCCCACCCCCATATCCTCTTCTGAGTTAGACAGCAGCGCTCCTGCGCGCGCCGTTTGCCTGGGCGCGGGGCGGCGGCGCGCGATCAGTCAGGTGTGGCGCCGCTCGCTCCGCAGCGCGGAAGGGCTGCGCGGGTACCCGCTGCGGGGCGGTGGCTGGGGCGGTAAGTGCATGCCTGGGGTGGGCGGGCTGCTTTTCCATGTCTCCTTTGTGTGGGAAGTGGGCATAGCACGGAGGATGGAGACCTAGTGCGGGCCCCGTGGGAGAAAGTGGCCAGAATGGTCCTTCCGCGCCGTAGTCCAGGGATGCGAGGGATGAAGATGTCCACAGCAAGCGTTGCATGGACTCTACTGCCCCAAGCGCTTTTCATGCTCACTTGCTTAATCTTTACCACTTTGTGAGACTGGTGCTGTTGCGTTCCCACTCTTCAACCAAGTAAGGAGACACAGAGATCAGTGATCTTGCAAAAAGGAGCACAGCTTTTCTTTCCTTCCTTCCTTCCTTCCTTCCTTCCTTCCTGCCTGCCTTCCTTCCTTCCTTCCTTCCTTCCTTCCTTCCTTCCTTCCTTCCTTCCTTCCTTCCTTCCTTCCTTCCTTCCCTTCCCTTCCCTTCCCTTCCTCCCCCCCTCTCTCCTTCTCTCCCTCCCTCTCTCCCTCCCTTTCTCCCTCCCATAACCAGTGGCAAAGTAAGATTTCAGTCTGGGGTAGTGAGCAACCCGGGCTTGGAGCGCCCTTTCCATTTTACGACCTGGAGGCAGGACTCCCCCAAACTTGCGCAACTCTCCTCTCCCAACCACTTTTCACAGGCAGAGATCAATTCCAGTAGACGCGCGCTTGCGCTTCTGATTCAGGTAGACCTGTAAATCAATCTTCCGAGAGAATGAAAATAATGAGGTGACAACTGTCTAGGCGCCGGCGGGCGACGCAGCAGAAGACACCAGAGAGGCAACTTCCCGCTGGCGCCTCTCTTTCGGGCAGATGTTTTGGCAGTCACTTGCGAAGGCTTAAAGAGCTACACAGCGAGACTGGAGCGCTCACGCTGGGCACCAGCTGCCATCTGCCAGCGCCCAGCGGCCAGGAGAGGGGGCTCTGTGGGCACCAGGAACCACCGCAGCTCCACCTTCTGCTCCTTTTATGGGCAGCCAAAACCAAAGGCCTGTTTGCCAAACGCCACGCTCACTCCGCCTAAGTGTTAACCCCTGCTGGCTGTCCATGCCCAGCAGACTCGATTTCCGTGTCTGCTCAGAGTCGCTGCTGCGGGCCTGGCCTTGCGCGCCCCGGAGCGTCCGCCACCCAACAGGGCAGAGGCGGGCAGAGGAGGTAGGGTGAAGGTGGACAGATCAGACCTAAACGGACCGAGAGAGCCCCAAGGGATAGTTGTGTTCGTTTTGCAGTTGGAAAATGCTTTGCAATGTCCATCATTTCAGCTTTTCTCTCAAGGCATCACAAAGTATGCAATAGCAGGATTTTTTTTTTTTATATGAAATGCTCAAGGAAAATAAGACACTATACACATGCGTAGCGATGGGTGTGTGCACAAAAAGCTTCTGCGCACAGGCGCCTTCTCCTTTCCCAATGTACCTGGGCAGTTTCCACAGCGATGCGCCCAACAAAGTGTTATCAATGCATCTTGAGTTGGTGCAAGGGGTAGAAATGATGTATATTTTTGATCCAAATGGAAGACTTCTTTAATGCTCCTGACTTTGAATTCTACATTGTTGAAAAGCACTCAATGTCGAGATCCTCTAAGGACAGAGGGACCTACCAATCTTGTGCAATTCCTTTGGTACTAACTCTTCTGGGATTTTCCATAAAGCACTTGTTGATCCTGTTACACACGTTTGCTCTCTGATAACTGATGTTCCTCTACTAAGAATCAGTGGGAGAAGGAAGCACTGTCGCCCAGCTATGTCATTACACAGCGAGTGCACAGCAGGTCCCAGCCAAAACCCTAGCTTGTCTTTTGTATTTTGGTATTATACTTGTGAATAAATAGTTACAAAGGATGGGTTTCTATTTTGCTATTTCTCCAAATATTGACGTAATTATGCTCCCTAAAGAGAGATAACAATTCTACTTGCATCACCTCGATTTCAAGGTTTATTTGACAAATAAGCTGAATTTCTGATATGCTCTCTATAATTTAGCCTAGAAATATGAAATATGTACTATACTCGGCCATAATTGGTAAATCCTAAAATTTTGACAGCACAGCAAATAGTAACATATGGAGTTAATGGTAAAGCAAGTTCAAATGCTAGATTGTCCTCTTTATACAAGAGGACAGCTAATGTTTTCTATATTCTACTTTTCTCAGTTGTCTAGTGGATGAAGAAGCCAATAGATTTTTCTCTCTAGTAAATATTCAAAAGGAAATTCTCTGGTATCTCTTAACCTATCCCCAGAGAATATTCAAAGAATTTATCTTATCTTTGAATATGGATTCATCTGTTTTCTTTACTCCACCAATTACATGGTTACCAAAATTTTAGTATCCTTATTTTTCAAACGAGGATAGAAATTAGAGTCATGTTAAGAGGGAAGAAGCCATTTCTTTTGTAGAGAACACTCAATGATTGGCATGTAGCTGCACTGGATTTTTATTATCATAACAGCAAAGTATGAGCAGATCGAACACAAGCACCAAGCAAATAAAACCATCTACTTATATAATGCCATCCTGAGGACTAATAACTTTGAGTTTCTTCCCCTACCTTTATCCAAGATCAACAATGTTGAAATATATGCCTTTCAAAGATTAAAAAAATCCCCAACAACTTTAGGGTGCAATTTCAAATGGGCAGATTAGAAACAATCTTGGATCTTCTTGGTCTTAAATAAAAATTTAACAACTGCCAATTTTAATTTTCTAGGATGGAAAATTAAAGTAAAAATTTATAGTCATTGCAGAATAAGTTATTGAAGAAATTTATTAACCTACAAAAGCAAAAATGAGTTCAAATGTGTACCAAGGTTTACTTGATGAACTATGGTTTGTTTTTATCAGAGGGAAACATTCTTACTCATAGTGACTCTCATTGTTCCATAGGCTAAGTGGCTTATGTGTAAATTATGTTTAGAAAATGCGCCCTTAACTTTTAAGAACAGTTTAAAAGATGCAGAGAATAAAACACACTGTGCTCAGAAGTGTTAGGATTCTCAGCTTTAGATTTGCTTTCAAAGGCATAGCTATGGGTAACGGTGAAAACTGTCAAAGAAACTGAGAGTGAGAATATTCAGATGACTGGTACCGGATTAACAATTACTTACAATCTTTCTTGCCATTTAACAAAACAGTTTATGAATACAATATATCTTGGTCAATGTCATCCCTTTCAACATTCTCACCCAGCCCTCCCTGATTCACCCTTTTCACGTTCATTTTCATTTGAAGCATTTACTAGTGGATTTTATAAGGAAGTAAATGTGTAGATAAATATGAGGTAAATTAAGTTTCAGGACTGTTACTAATATATAGCATTGGCTATATTTATAGGAGAGAAACATTTTAATTCATAGCGATTCATATATTTCAGCTTCTTAGGAGAATATTTCATGTTTAAGGTCAAAGCAGGTTTAAACAAAATCTTCACTATCATGTGGACAAACGTATTTTGATTAGACACACTGTTGCTTGACATTTGTTCTGAAGTTTGCCATATCGAATTTTATGGGCCATCTTCAAACCAAATTAAAAATCATACTCAAGCAATTCAAACAACTTCCACCTTCACAATTCACAATTTTGTTTATGTGAATAAAAGGCTTAGATGTGTAGTGTGTTTGTAAGAATTTGTGAGAATTTCTTCACTGGGCCTTACTGAATCTAGCATGTGAATTTCATTTGAATGCAAGCGGTAGTATTTTGAAATTCTCTCCCAAGTGATGAGTAGAACAGTGACAAATAATTATATTTTCAATGTAGATAAGCTTCTTGGCATGTGTCTCCAAAGAGAAGCTGAAACTAGTGGAATATAATTTCTGACTCCATGGGTCTTTATTATAACTTGGACTGGAAGGCCAGTGGCTGAAGTGAAGTTCCACGTGAGATTAAAAGTGAAGTTGAACTCGAGAGTCAGTTAAAGAGCATTGATATTTCGGGATTGTATTTTCTTTAACAAGAGGCTCTCTGCACACACAAGCGTTCACGAACGAACTCCCTGAAATAAATTATATACTCTGGTTTTGTAGCTGATCGCTTCATTTTCTGCAATTGCCCATGACTTAAAAAAGAAAACAACAGCCTATCTTTCCTGCATTAGAGAGTAAATTAATTATTTCTGGGTAACAGCAGAAAGGCAAATAACTTTTCAGATTAAAATTTCCAAAATAGTTTAAAAGATTTTGAGATGGTCTACATTAAGATTCCTTTTCTTTCATTATAAACCATAAGAATTGATCGTTGATACAAGTGGAAGTTTACCTACAATATAGGTTTTAAAAAAACATTTTAACGATAATGTCAGTATGTGCATCCATCATTTTATTTTTTGTGCTAGACTAGAAAGAGGAAGAGGACAAGTTGACTTTAACTCACTCCAGCTGTGGCTCTGACCCTTTTGTAGTCTTTAGGATTCCCTCAGATACAAACTTTTGCCCTTCTCCTCCTTCTTAACATATTTCAAGTGCACAATTTCTAAAGATACTGCAAAGACATAGAACAGTGTTTGGTCTATTCCATTTTAGGAAAATATTGTCCCTTGCTCTTCTCTGTACAAACATGTTAAATGCTGAATATTGGATCATTTGTAAAGTTGCGGTAGAAACCTGTAATACTTAATATATTGACCATTTTAGTCATTCTTTGATATGGAGGTAAGATCAAAATACATTACAATCTTATTTCTATCTGCTACTCCCTGACAGTTTATTAAAGTTATTTTTACATCATTAAACCTCAATTTGCTTGTTATTTAAGCAAGACAAACCTGCTTTTAGTTATTTTTCTGATCACTGAAGAGATTTATGTGATGTGTG